GCACATGTTTTTTCCACTGCCTCCTTCATCACCAACATAAGGAGAGATTTTTCTTGCCATGTTTAGATAGATTAACAGCAGCTGCAAATGAAGAGGGTTTTGAAAGTCTTTTAAATGATGAAAATTCTTTTATTATTAAACAAATAGCTAAATTTTGTTTATATTTGATTAAATTTCATATTAAGAAGGTGGGTTAATTAGAAGGTTCAAATTCTAAATTTAATTTTAAACCTTTAATTTTGAATTCTCTGTAGATATTATCCTGTAACTGTTCTAGATGTATTCCTATGGTTTTATAATGCAGTAAAGTTATTCAAACACATCTGTGCAAAATTAGTCTTTTCATAGTAAGAAGCAAAGCACCCACAGTAAGCAAACACAGAAGGACTGGTTGATTGTTTAAAAGATTCAAATGACTCCTGTGATACTTCTGATCCTTAAAAGTCCATGCAACAAAGTAGCGGCCACTTGTATTTTAGGCAGTTTGTGTTAAAGCAATACTTTTGTTAAAGTGCAGTTTGTATAATATTGCACACATTTTTCTTGTTCTCTTCCATTTTTCATAGTGCTGCAATTTCTCAGTTCCACATCCGGACATGCAAGGATGAGAGTAGCAGGGACTTACACCCCCATATTCCATTCTTTGTTTTGGAATATCCATTTACAACTCAGTCTTCTGTTAATCTGCTCAGTCAGAAGTGTTCCATTAAATTCAATGGGACTGGCTCTCTGATATGTGTGCATAGGATTATGAAATGATTTTAAATAATAACAAAACACATTACAGACTTCTATTAACAAAATGGATCATCAGCTCTCTTTTTAAAGGAATGACCCCACATCCTCTCAGAGATGATAGTTAGTACAACAGCAAGGCATGAGTGGATATAACTGGCATGCTCCATTATGAATTTGAAGCCATTTGTGAAACTTGTGGCACTCTGAAAAATTTTTTTGAACATGGAACAAGATAGATACATAGAGAAGTGAGCAGGGTAAAGAGAAAGGAAACTTATGCATGATTAAGAGATTTAAACAAATTCTAATAGGGCATGTCATGAAATATGTGCGCCAATCTTACTTATTTGAGCAAACTTCTTTGAAATTGGACAGTGAGTTCTTCTTCAAGGAATTCCTCTTCAAGGAATCTATGTAATAGATTGTCACCAATAAATTGGGGAACATAATTTGAATCAATAAATTGGGTTGTAATAGCTGATATGACCGCTCTCATTTTTCCCATTCTGATCTATTGGTAGAATGAAATCTTCAAAGGATCCAGTAATAGGAGTACTTACTGAACACAGAGGACATTTTACACACACATACACATAACCTATATTGAACATAATAGTCAATCGAGTCAGATAATGTTAAAAATCCCACTTATTCTGAACTAGGAATCTGTACTGAGGGAAATTTACTTGCATGATATCTGTGTCATGAAGGCAGTTACAATTTCTTCCATAGCTATAAATTTCAGTTTCAATTATTGCATGTGTCAATGTGACTGTTTAATGCAGAGCACTGGATATTTGGAATACCAGTTGTTTTATGTGAAGACATAAAATGTGTTTTGTTAATGATTAATACTTTTGTTTTCTTATAGAGGAAATGTGCATTAAGAAAAAGTGAAACTCGCTCTCTGTCTTTAACACACATATCTGTGGACTAGAGATGGGCATGAATTTAAAAAATAATCACCAAATTTGTTCAAAAATTGCTAATTTGATGATTTGTATTCATACAAATCAATGTCCCTGATGAATACGAATCAATTAATTTTAGTGATTTTATTTGTTTATTTGTTTGGCAATAGAGTGCCTGCACAGGCACTTAGAGACACCATAATTGCAGTGAAGGTTCCTTTGACTCTCCTCTACAACATCTCCAAGTTTGGTGAAGATTAGATTTCAGATGTCCAAGTTATAAATGCACAAAGAGGGCCACCCCAGGAAAGAGCCCCCCCCCGAATCTTGAAACACCAAATTCACAGAGAAGCTTCCCATGACTTTCCTCTAGGTTTCCTCCAAGTTTGAGGAAGATTGGATTTCCCCAAGCCAGCTGCTAAAGGGCACTTTCCTGGGGATACCTACTTTGTGGGTGTAAATAACTTGGATATCTGAAACCCAATCTTCACCAAATTTGGAGGGATTGTGGAGACAACCTTGAGCCGGCTACCTGGGATTTGAACCCCAGGTCGTGAGCACAGTTTTAGCTGCAGTACAGCATTTTAACCACTGCGCCACGAGACTCCAAATTTGGAGGGATTGTGGAGATGAGACTGCTGAATTGTGTTCACACTTGTGTTAAACCATGGCTGTAGCATTACAAGAATGAGCTTTAGCCATCCCTTCCCTTTATTCTGGTATATCTGCAGGGAGCTAAGAAACTACTACTTTGTTGTCTGAACACTAAGCTAGTCCTATTCAGGTGATACAATCGGTGGAAGTGTGTAGCAGGAACCAGGGAATTGTACTATAGTTCTGCTCTCTTCATTCCCAATCCTCCCACATTGTTAGGGAAGGTCTGAAATAGTGCATTGCATTGTCATTGGACCAGCATGCAAAGATGGATGGAACAAAAACTAATTTCCACAAATTCTTAAAAATCCAAATTTAAGGACTCCAGCACTACTTCTCTATATACAACAGAAGTGATTGAAATTATGTCCAAAAAGGAGAAGTCCCACACAGCTGAAAACTGATTTAGCTATCTTAGAAGACTTAATTTAAAGCAGTATACAAAGAGAGTTTCATTTTACTCTTTTATATAGGACACTTAGAATAAAAGGACATAAAATAGCATTTTTTGTGGCCCTTCTGAACTCCACAAGATCTCTTCCCTCAAACATATTAATTTCTAGAAACAGAATAAGCCATTTACTGCTTCTCATATCCTGCTGAATCATTGAACAAATACAATCTGTTTCTTGTATTGAACCGGGGTGTGTGGGGGAGATATTTCTGTAATATAAGCATCCATACTAATCCATAAAACGAAACAGAGGTACTGGAATCTTTTATTGCACTATTTTGATTGACATATGCTTTTAATTAATAGAATAAATGTAAATATTACAATTTATTCTTGCTCTCATAACCAGCTGCCATTATTTGAAAAACGGTGACAAATGCACTGTGGATCCAAATATCCTCTTAAAAATATTTTGCCCCCATCCAAAGCAAGCAAGGAAGAAGAAATTTCACCAAAGACCCCATAAAAACGGCAATCTAGTTTGCATAAATACAATGATCTTCTCAATTTTTTTCAGCTGCTGGTTTTGTTTTGTTGTTGTTTTAAAATTACCCATTTGCCTAAGAGTACTAAAGCCATCCATCATGCAGCCAAGAAGAACTCTACATGTAACAATGTCATTCAGCAATATGTCTGGCATGTAGGACTGGGCTGAACTTTAACAATGTTTGGATTGAATTTTGGAGGCAGCAGCAAAACTCTTTCTGGCAAGGTCTCCAACTGGCAATCCATTTCTCCGCATATTTTTTGTGGAAGCAGTTCTTTTTGATAGTAAATTGTCATTCCCAGAGAAATTCCCAAGGCATGAGGAATGGCAGCAGTCAGGCAATGGTCACTGAGAAATGTTCCACTATAACTGATAGTAAGGCTCCTGCTACACCCAATTTTGCTTTATTCTTCCTAAATTTTGTAATCTGTAAATGGGACAGTAGAAAATGAAGAAGGTCTCAGCCCTATTATAGGGAATCATTTCCCTATGAATTACCTGTTGTTGTTTTTCATTTGTTTGTTGTTTGTTTTTCACCCTCCACAATATTAACCTGATTGGTTATAAGGCAGCATCGTTGCCAGTTGGAAGAAGGACATTCTAAAGAAACAATGGTGCCAAATGTAAAGCTGATTGGAGTTGTAAATGATTTCCATGATCTGAATGCCAAATAAGAGGAAACAGGATTCTAGAGGTTTCAAAGAGGTAGTTAGGATTCTGTAGGATAATTCTGAGCTGCAAAGTTGCACAGTGCATCAGGAATACTGCATGGGGAAAGGTTTGAACATCATTATCTTCCCTGCTGTGTCCATTCAGTAAAGTGACCCCGAAATTCATCTCACTGGTCAGATGATTCAAATACATCTCTACAGTATATTTGAGTATGGGACAGAAATTTGCTTGATCTGAATTTTAAGATGACTAAATTTTACTTCCCAGCTTGAAGTAAACCTTGCCCAACAGAAGAGAATGGAAACTAGTCTATAATTTATCCATACTGGTGCCTCTTCTTGCTTCATGTGAAAAACACCACAGTACAATTCATAAATATGCATAGGTTTTTCCCAATAATGGACAATGTAAAGAGCATTTGGGGCAACTAACACAATGTCTTCCTTAATACATGGAAGATCTGTGGGTCGTGCTGAGTCTTTTGTTTTATTCGTTGTAAGAAGGAAGTCTACGTATATTAGTTATTATTAGGGTTTTTTCCACTCTTTTCTGAAATACTGATACGTATAAATGATGTTGAAGCAGCCCATACTCCCTCTGTGTTCTCCTTTCTGATTGCTGATTCCCTTGTGTGACATCTAGTATACTTAAGCAGTTAGGTATAGTAAGGTTAGATTTGCTATTCTTTGTTATTCAGAGTAAAGGAAAATGTATATAAAGTGCTTCTCTCTCCCTAAATCTCATGTTTTCTGGAGCAGTCTCTGTGAAAAAAGTAAAAACGAGTTATAGTGACAAAAAAGTTGTATTTTGACAATCTAGAATGCATATTTAGAGCTTCATTAGCTCCTTTTCTTTGTCCCTAGAGTTCCAAATCTAAATATGTAAGAGTCAGAAATGTAGTAAAAATTTTATGAATTACATATATAATTACAAAGCAACTAGAAATCTCTGACTTTACACAGTTCTAGTTCATTGCCCTGCAGCCTCCTTAAAATGATCTATTAAATGATATTAGAAATACTTAATTATACCCTTCATCTCTTAGAGCTCCAATGTAATTTCATGGTTATAATTTTCTTGTCAGGTAATAAAACAGGATGAGCTTGGCAAAGATCTGTCTGACTGCTCCCTTTTCGATCTGTTGAAATATGATGATTATAACAGTGACAAGCACTTAGGCCTGGAAGAATTCTATCGGGCATTTCGTAAGTACACTTCCTAGTTTTATTCCATCTGTTACAAATGTGAGATTTCTCCAGAAATGCTGGAATATAGTATCTTATGTTAAACACAGAATTTTGTGTCATGCGTTTATTTTATTGTCAGTATTTAGTGAGTTTTTTTCCTTATTGTTTTGCATTTATAGTTGCCTTTCCCCCAGTGAGTGTAAAGTGTGTATGGCTTGACTACTCTTCATAATAGTCCTGTGAGGCTAAGAGAATATGACCAACCTGTATTAATTCAGTTAGTTTCAGGGCTCAGTGGGGACTAAAACATGGATCTTGGAGTCCTGAGTCAATCCACAACACTGATTCTCCAGTGTGATGAACCTGACTGCAGTAGAAATCCACCATATTTAAATCTTGATGGACCATCCCTTGACTGTCAGCTTTATCACAAATGCTAACTGCAACCCAGATGAAAAACAACATGCCTAGAGGGGGTTTCTGTAGCTATCATTGCCTTACTCCTTGCTGTGGGTTTGAAACCTGAAAAAGGAGAGATTTTCTATATCCAAAATGTAATGTTGTGTGTTGACAGTACATAAAATATATTGTACATGATGGCTAACTTGTGTTCCATACTTGTAATTTGGAAATACAGTGGACCCTTGACTTATAGATGGCTTGACTTACAGACTTTTTGAGTTACAGACTTCTCTGGCCGCAGAATTTAGGTTTGACTTGCAGCCTGAGAATTGACTTACAGACCAGAAAAACAAACAAACAAAATGGAACAAAAACAGCCTGTTATGGGATTAATCGGTTTTCAATGCACTGTAGGTCAATGGAGACTTGACCTACAGACTTTTTGACTTGAGACCCGCCTTCCAATACGGATTAAGTTCTCAAGTCAAGACCTCACTGTATGTAACTTAGGTGAATATTCACATACTTCTGAGGTAGAAGACTTTCATTTTTTGCTGATGGTTTTCCCTTCTGAATATTTACATGATGCTTTTTCTATCTTTTCTCCTGCTGCAGGCACCTAAGATTCCATATTTAGTGGAGTATGTGTGTTTGTGCATGTGGGTATGTGTAAATGAATGCTAGGATCAACCACAGTGGAACTGTTATTTTTCAGTCGGTGCTGGGTACGAATGCAGAAGCATTAATGTTTTTAAAAGTGTGTAAATTATCTTGATTTGAGAAGGATGTGGCTTAGCTTTGGATTTCCTTTGCCTGAGGAGACTTTCTGGCATTGTTTGTGAGAACATCTATGGTGTGATGAAAAACAATGAGAAGTAAGACTGAAAAACATTTGAAGTGATCTATGGAAAAAGGGAACAGTCTACAAGCTAGAGATAGCATAAACATATATTAAATACATGTCTTTGGAACTGAGCAGCTTTAGGGGATTCACTTTGCTTTTAAATTTCCTTTCTAAAGTCTTAGGCAATTAAATTCTGCTTAAATATGCAGACAGGATAGAACTGTGAAACTAGCTTGATTAATTATCACTATTGTTTCATTAGCATTTCCTAGTAGGAGATATATTTTTCAGCTATATGGTTAATTAGAGCCTTGACTATCATCTAAAGATGGTACATTCAGAATCAAACATGACTGGAAATTACTTTTTTTTAGTGTTATGATTTGGCACCTCTAAGCCAATGGAGAGTTAAACTCAGCAGTTGAAAAACAAATGCCTTTTCCCCACCTTATATAATTCTACATAAGACTGTACTGAATGTTTTCCAGTAAATGCTTTCATTCTAAAAGGAGGAGATTTGAAGAATGGCCTGAAATTGCTCCCAGAGTTTACCTTCACCATGTACATTGTACTACTAGTGAGAACTTCAGAATCATTACTATTTGTTTGAAAAAAATTGTCTTCCTTTTTGCTAGTGATTTCATCATACATGTAACCAGATTAGCTACATGACAATGTCCCTGAGGCAAACAGTATATTCAGAGTGAGGAAAATCATTTTTGGGGAAAAACATTTGATTTTGGTAATGTCCTCACATGGTCAAAAGCTTATAGCCTAGGAAGAACATGATTTTTGGCAAAGCTAAAGTCAAAGCTGTGGTAGATGGAGCTGCAAAGTGGCTCAGAATAAAGTACAGCTACCATTCTACCATAACACCAAATATAGAGCAATGGTATCTGTGTTGCAATTTGCTGAAGTATTTATAGGAATAATGTACATTACTTCATCTCTGTAATATTCCATGAAAAAATAAAATGGTGTGGAAATTCCCACAAGAGTCTCTGAAAGAAGCATATTTTTCAGAGGTGTAAAGCCTTTCACTATGTGGATCGCAAGAAACTATGGGCTGCTTTGAAAGAAATTGATGTGTCTGAGCACTTGACTGTCCAAATGCATCACCTGTATTATGGACAACAAGCTACTATTAGGACAGAATATGTATGGAAAGACAGAATGGTTTCTTGTAGACAAAGGTTTCAGACAAAGGTGCATTATATCCTCGTAATCTCTTCAGTCTGTATGCAGAACATAACATACAGAAAGACATGAATGCTAAAACTGACAGTGACTAAAGGTTTAAGATGAGATTTAAAAGGTTTCTACTTGAGATGGCATAAAAATGTATTGTATTTGGTTGCGATTTGCAGATGTGAACACTCTCTAGTCATTTCTATTATTTCTCTGAGATTTGTTGAATGTCTACTGGTTTGGGAAATATTAACACAAGATTACAGACCATGGATAAACTTGATCAGTCCATAATAAGGCAGTTAGAAAACAGAAACATACTTCCCCATTAAAATGTGCACTTTTCTTTTCTTTTTTTTTTGCAATACCAGTAAAAAGGCATATATAAAAAGGCAAGTGTGATCAAAATAAATTATTACTGACTATTTCATAGAAAAATGCATGGTGAGAAGGGAAATTGCTTGCAAAAATTGTATCTTTTGAAAACACATATACATTAATGCATATGTGAAGAGATATGTTATGAAAGGCATACTTTATTTTGTATATTATTAAATAATTCACATAGAATTGGGCAAAAGCCAAAATAGTATTCAGAAAATTAGAATCTCAATAGATCTTCAATATATTGATTTCCACATCCATATATAAGATGTCTGCTCCATATAGTGCTTCAAGAACTGATATATCCATGCCTTATGACTAAATTTAACAGAAATATCAAGACAGTTTTCTCTGCATTGATAGAATAAATTGTGGTGACATCTACTTCATGTACACTGAAGGATTCAACCATGTGTCTTCCTCAGGCTGACACTTGACAAGTAGGATCAATCATTATTTCCAATTATACAACCAGTCACTCAAGAGAAATTATGAAACTGCTGACTTGATTTTAAAATGCATCGTAAACTCTAATATCGTTTTCTGGGTGTTATAGATCTGGGTCATTTTTCCCCCCTAACAAGCACCTGCTGTGGGTTAAAAATACATTTGGTATGTTGTTCTGGGTCAACGTGTGGGAGTGGTTAATAATCATTCAAATAATATTCACTGAATTTCTCATTCAACACACCGAGACACCTGAATTTTAAAGCTTGGTGAGGTTCCCTGTGCCAGACAACAAAAAGACAAATCCTTTTTTTTCTTTCATTGTCTATAATTCATAGAAAATGCCTCCAGTGTCTTTTCTGTTTGAGAACAAAGTACACACACACTCTCTGAAAGGACTGACCAAATTTCATACCGGCTGATTGTTAACAAAGATTTAACCAACATACTCATTGCTTCCATTTCATAAACAAAGCAGGGATTACTCTGGTTTGAGGCAATTTGCACAATTCACACAAATGCACAAATTGCTTGATTTTGCACTAAATTGACAACTATGTACAAAGTGAAGCAATTATTTCACAAGACATTATTCTCTCCAGTGGAAGGATTTTATTCAGTTTACAAGGAACTGTTCACCATCCTCACTGGCAAGGAGAAGAATCTTTCAATCTCCCATTCTTGTATGCGAGGATAAAAGAAGGAAGGATTTATTTCCCTGATGGTTAGAGTACCATATTTGGAAGATTATAGATTCAAATCCCCACTCCAGCCATGAAGTTCAGTGGGTGATCTTGAGCAAGTTACTATTTCTCAGCTTTGCCTACCTTAGCAACTAGACACCTGTAGTTGTGTCTTCCCCATATTTTTTAAAACCATGTCTAATTGTTTCTTCCCCATGGTTTTTTAAAGAGGAAAAGCAGCTATAGAACCTAGAATTTTGAGAGAATGCCCCGAGGGACAGTTTCTTAATCTATTGTCTGCCACTACCTTTGTGCTCAGAATCTCCTCAACTATTTTTCTATAGAGAAATTTTTTTTACAAAGATCCATATACCTCACAAGTAGAATGCAGCTTGGAGGACAATGTTCAGCGGCCAAATAACTGTCCCCTTACTCTGGCAGTCCTTTCAGAAAATTTCAGCTTCCCATGAGTACTTTTTCTTTGTATAAAATGAATGGAAAGGGGGAACTATGCTACTAAACTTACTACATAAGCCCTTTCCTCATCCTATTATCAACTTCCAATCCATTAAGGACCTTGAGGTCTGTCATAACATCTATTCTTATTCTGGCCTGCTTCTTGCTTTTGTGTATGACAATAGATGTGAGAATTGAATTTATATATATGTACAACTTGTACTGAATCTTCCATGTATTTGGGAACCTACACACAAGATTCAGGATCACAGGATTCAGGATCACATGGAAGCGTCTATGCATGTATAGTTCCATGAACGTCTTCTGATGAACACACTGAAGTCAGGAAAAAGACAAAAGACATGTTTCTACTCTTTCTTTATACTACAGATGGGTGAGAATTTTCATCCACTTAACTTTTGATAAGAATTTGCCAGTTTGCAAATATCTTCCTATGTGAGGGACTGGAAGAACGTGATTTGGGGAAAAAAATTAAATATGGGAGAAAATGAAACTGACAAATCTACCCATGGATGCCCAAGGCTTCAAATACTTAACTCCCACAAATCAACTTTCTTCATTTTGTGCCTGTTTAATTTTCATACAGATGTCAT